ATTCTGCAGGCAGCCTGTCTTGTCTCCAAGAGCACCCGTAGGACTTCTTTTGGAGAGGTTGGGTGCCGTAATTGAAAGCTTCTTCCCCAGTCCTTGTTCTCTGGGCCCTTGCTGAGAAGGAGCGATGGAAGGAGAAGACGCGCAGGAAGCCCCAGAGAGAGAAACTCTGCAGGGAGCTGCTGGGTGCAAGAGAGGCAGAGTTGATGCTGTCTCCGCTGCTGCTGCTGCTGCTACTTCCATCCCTCCCTTGCTGAGCCTTCCTTGTTCCTCTACTTGTGGCTCAGAAGATGTAGTACTCGATGGTGGTGGTGCATGCATGGTTCTTGCAGAAACAACTGCCTTGTGTACTTCTTCTGTCCAGCAAAGAAAAGGGCCTTCTGCACAGCAGCAGCTGGTGGCAGGGCTCCAAAGGTGCTCCAGCCTTGGAGTACCTTTGGAGGAGTTCTCCAAGGTGCTGAACCTATCCTGAGAGCAGAGTTGGAGTATCTCCCTTAGAGTTTGGGTTAAACCTGCAGTGGATTCGCTGCCCTGATGACTTGGGCACCGCCAACCACTGCTGGGTCAAATGGAGGTGGCTCCCATCTTCCCCCAAAACCTTTCTGTTGCACAAACTTTGCAGCCTTGGAGGAGGAAACCTCTGGCTGCCGGAAGAGTTTGAATCTGGTCCGTCAAGGGTTTGGAGGCAGTCCTTTGGCATTTTCTTAATATCCCATGCTCTCCTTCCTGTGTTGGAAAGTTTTCTGGCTTCTCTCTAACGAGAGGAACCATGCTTCTCTCCAGATGCCACTGGACTGCAACTCCTAGCAGGATTCAGCAAGTATAGCTGATGGTGAAGGATGCTGGGAGCTGCACCACATCTTTTTTTTTTTAAGGGGAAAAAAGAGAGAGGCTATTTCACACCAAGAAAAAGACTGTTTGGGGCCCAGAGATTGCATTTGACTACTTGTAAGTAAAACAAACAGAGAGAGACAGTGTGGTGTAGTGGTTTCAGTATTGAACTATGACTCCTGAGGCCAGGGTTTGAACCTCTGTTCAGCCAAAGATTGAGAACTGTTGCACTAGAGATGCTTAGGATGGAGCCACAGCAGCTAAAATGGTATTGAACTGATATAAGTGTGTGGTGCAGACACACCCCAGATAACTGTTTCTAACCACATCATGGCTTGTCTCCCAGGTAGCCCAGGAGGAAGAGCTTTTTCTCCTTGTCTTGGCATTGTTCAGACATGAATTTCACTTGATCTCTGATGAAAGCACATCCGTCCGGGGGGAATGTGCTTTGCCGCTGACACAGATAATGAATCTGACTGAGCCCGTGCTTTTCTCCTCGGAGCAGATTGCATTTGTTCGCCGTATCAAATGAAAAGCCGGACCAGTGCCTGGATGGCAGGCCGTAATTGATGGATGTTTTTGGAGGAGGGTCCCTGGTGGATTGTTAGCGCGGATGCCAAAATCGTTCAGGACAGCATGGTCCAACAAGTTGAGCATGAGCCAACAGTGTGATGCTGCAGCTAAAAAGACCAATGGGATCCTAGGGGGCATCATCAATAGAAGTAGAGTGTCCAGATGGAGGGAAGTCATAGTGCCACTCTATTCTGCTTTGGTCAGGCCTCACCTGGAATAACTGTGTCCAATTCAGAAGGGATATGGAAAAGCTGGAGTGTGTCCACATCATCTCCATCTCCATCATTATTATTATTATTATTATTACTACTGCTATGCTGAGGTCTCCTATGACTTTTCTGAGCTCCGGACAGTATGTGCCCAGCAGTGAGCATGTTTTGGATACAGCATCTTTCCAGTTCAGCAGCCCTTGACATGCCTGGTACCCAGGGACAGCATCTTTGCTTCATTGCTTCCCTGTTCCTGTTAGATCTCCTTGGTCTGCCTGCTTTCTTCATGAGCAAGGTTGGCATTTGGATGTTTTTCAAGCCGTCTGGCTCTTGGTTCAGCGTTGGCACTCTTTCTCTCTCTCTCTTGCTGTCTGATGATGGCTTTTGAGGCAAGATATCCCTTTGTAGTCCCCTTTCCAATAGCTCTCTCCTCCTTTCTGAAGTCTCAAAGCATCAAAGGCAGAAGGAAAGATCTGCTCCTGCAAAATAATGGTCCTCTTGTGAGGTAGGAGCCAGGGATCGGCAAACCAAGGCTAGACTCAAAGACACATTAAAAGAAGATCCCGACTGAGGGAGCCTGGCTCTAATCCGTTAGCAGTGATCACAAACTGGGGTTAAGGCTGCAGCCGCCTTGGAAGTAACAGGTTACAAGTAACATAAGCACTTGTAATGACTTACTTTGGAGTGGGGCAGTAATATTGAAGGAACTGAGTGACATTTCAAAAATAATTCAGACACCTAGCCATGTTAATCTGGAATATCAGTATTGCAGCAGCTTTGAGACTTAACTGTGCAAACGAAGTTGTAGCATCAGCTTTTGTAGACTTTTGCAAAGGAAGTTGTAGCATGACCTTTTGTAGACTGGTGCCCAAGAAGAATGCATTTATTATCAGAATGCAAAGGGATTTTGTAGCATCCTTGAGACTAACTGTGTGAAAGAAGTTGTAGCATGAGCTTTTGTAGACTTTTGTAAAGGAAATCGTAGCATGACCTTTTGTAGACTGGTGCCCAGGAAGGAGCTTTATTACCAGAATGCAAAGGGATTTTGTAGCATCTGTGAGACTAACTGTGTGAAAGAAGTTGTAGCATGAGCTTTTGTAGACTTTTGCAAAGGAAGTTGTTGCATGACCTTTTGTAGACTGATGCCCAGGAAGAATGCTTTTATTTTCAGGATGCAAAGGGATTTTGTAGCATCCTTGAGTCTAACTGTGTGAAAGAAGTTGTAGCATCAGCTTTCATAGACTTGAGCTACTTCCTTAGGTGCATGGAGTGAACTGGTACCCAGGAAGGACCTTTATAATCCTAGTGTATGAATAATCATAGAAATGCAAAACTTGTGAGTATGGTAGGAGACCACAAGTTCAGTTTTAACAATGGTCATTGAGGGACAAAGGCAAGGGGAAAGATACTGCCTAAGGCCTGGGAGAGTGACCTCTACCACCTCCTGGACTTAAAACCCAACAGCCCAAACTCAACCAGCCTTTCCATAATGGAAAGGTCTGTTAATCTGCAAAGGGTAAGAGCAGCCTCTCATTGTTCTCATTTCTAATCCTTCTTCCCTTTGAATATTTTGAGTAGCAAATTGTGATCCAGAGGGAGTTTGGGATTATGGAGTCTCTTTCTCTGAGGATCAATGGCTGGATTTGCATGTTAACATCATGCTTGATAAAAATATTCCACTCTTCCAAAAAAGCCCAGCTCTACTTGGACTGTGAAACTCAGGGCTGGCTTAAACCAGATCCCACTCCACTCTTTCTGCTGCATCTCCTGGCAAATAGGACTCATTAATTCCTTGCCGGAGGGCCATCGAACCAGAATCTGGAACTTGCACCTGAGTTTGAGCATGAATGGCAAAGGATAAATTTTGCAGCCAGTCCATGAAAAGCCACAAGGCTTGGAGCAAGTCTCCCCAAACTGATGCGGTCTAAGCTTCCCAATATGCATTAAAGAGGAATAGACCAGATTGGAAAAATCATGGCTCTTCCATTACCACCACATGCAGCAACTAGTCAGACCTAAAGACCCGTTGCAATTGTTTAACTGCAAACCCTGAAATTTGGAACCCTCTCCAAACCTGTGCCAAAGTTTTGCCATTGTTTTGCAGCATTTTACAACAATCTCCCACACATTTTGCAGTCCCTCCCAAACTGAGAAACAGATACCTCAACTAGGAGTTCCTAGTATATGCTCCAAAACCCAACATCCGATTCGCTCCAAACCTGTGCCAAAGTTTTGCAGTTGATTTGTAATGTTTTGCAACACACATTTTGCAGCCAATCCCCCAAACAGACCAACAGATGCCTCAGCTTGGGGTTCCTGGTATATACACATGATGGGTGCTGTAGTGATGCTCTTTGACACCCAGCAGTGATCCACAGCCACTTTGTATTTCTTACCAACAACTGGCTCAGCTTCTCTTCTTCAGGATCCTGTCTTCCTCAGCCAAGAAAGTCCATTGTAAAGTCCAAAAGTATAGTTTATTAATGCATATAAAAGAAAAATAAGATAGCTAAGTAAAATCCATTGTGATGAACTTAACCAGTTCAGTCATGAGAGATTACATCTTTAACAATCCCAAAAGCATAGGATCTCAACTTGTTGCAGTTGAAAGTTAAAAAGAAGTTACAGATCCATGTTTCCAGATCCAGGAGTTACATTTTGTAAAAGCAGTATAAACATACTCAAAAACTACAAGCTAACACCTAGCTCCATGGTTAAAAACCACTGTCAGAGACGCACGCACTCACACCTTGAATTATAAAGCTCAATGCGGTGGAATTCTGGGATTTGTAGTTTGGTAAGATCTTTAGCTTTCGGTGTCAGCAATCTCTGGGGCCACAAGAAACTACAGATCCCAGGGTTCCATAGCATGGAGCCATGGCAATTAAAGCAGCGTCAAACTGCATCAATTCTGTAGTGCAGATGCACCCTTGGCCTTGGGGCTTCCATCAGCAAGACAGGATTTGCCATTTCCCCATCTACCTTTCTTTCTAAAGAGCAGAACTTGGAAAAGCCCCAGGTCCCAAAATGCCCTTGCACCTGGCCTTGCAGGATTCTGGGAGTTGCAACACCTCCTCCCCCCCCCCTCAGAAAAATTCCCTTTCCTGTCCTCTTTGGATGCATTGCTCCTATGCTGGCATCCCTCTTGCTTTGCAAGTGTTTACAGAGAGTAACATCAGAGATTGAAGCCCCCTTTTAATGGCAGCAGCCTTCATTAGCCTGAGATTTTTGGCAGGGCTTTGAATTAACTTCTAAGGCTTGGCCTCTCTCTCCCAAAGGGAAGACTTTGATGTCTCTCGATTGAGAGCCTTTCCCTGGTGCCTGTGTTTCTAAAAAAGGGATTTCTCAGCAAGTGGGAGCATTGAGAGAGAGGGGTCATCTTCTCCGTTTGCAAGGATGCCTCTCTTGCAGCCCAGTGGTTGGGGATGAGTGACCAAGAGGGTGACCAACTGGACTCTGCATCCTACAGGGCCTGGAGAAAGTACGTAGAAGAGATCTTGAAAGAAAGAAAGAAAGAAAGAAAGAAAGAAAGAAAGAAAGAAAGAAAGAAATTGGTAGCATGAGGAGCTTTCCTAGACTTCGGTCTACTTCCTCAGATGCATTTGCTGGAGTGGAGGCCAGGCACAGACAGAGATATAGGTGAGGATGTCAATTCAATTGACAAATCCTTTTTGTATGGAGATGGAGATAGCAATGGCAATAGCAACAGCAATAGCAACTTCATTTATATGCCTCTTCATACCATGCTATGCAGCCTCTGAGTGGTTTACAACTGTAAACTCATTTTAGCCCCCTTGGAAGGACGGAGGTCCAGGTCCAGTCTGAACCATGATTGTTCGTGCACAAAGGCATAGGAAACTGGTCTTGGTGCCTGGGGATGAACTGGCCGATCCAGTTTGGCAATGGGACTAGTCTGTGGAGAGAGAAATGGAGGAATGGAGGAGGATGGGGTCCGATAGTGTTGAAGTCTGTGTAGCCAGTAAGAAACCCATGGTCTTTGTTCAATCCATTGCTGAGGGTTTATGCAGTTTGTGGATAAGCTCCAATTCTGCTGTTTCTCTTTCCGTCTACCTTTGTAGTCCTTTTGTTCAAGGACCACTGTTCTGAGGTCTGAGATGGAACGCCAAAAGGGAGACATATTCTGGGTGATGATGCCCTTAGGTCTTGGGATGACATTTCCCAGATAAATGCGTGGGCAGGGTTGGCATCTTGGTTTGCAGAAAGGCTCAGTACCTGTGTCTCCATCTGTGTCGTGTGTCGTCCCGTAGGTAAGTACCTGTTTGAGGCTTGGAGGCTGTTTGTAGGTGAGCTGGGAGAAGTTACTTTGGGGGACCGCAGCACCCAGAACTCTCCCCACCTCCGAGCTGATATCCTCCAAAGTAACTTTCCCAAGCTCTGTAAACCCTGGTTGGCTTCCTTCTTCGCTTGA